GAGCCCAGCCTGGAGCTACAGCCTGGTCCTGAGAACGGCACAGGGAAAACCAGCATGGTCCCTGCAGGGGGCCCTATGGATGCCATACGTGCTCCTCTGGGGGTACGTCAGCCCCTGCCCATAAACCCGATGAGAGGTTTTACGTCCATCCTCCCAGCAAGCCCCCAGATCAGCCCTGCCCCACACCAGCCCCAGTGTCCTGGCTGCCGCCCTGTTGAGGGGGGCAGCTCACTGGGGTCTCCATCCCCATCTCTGCCACACGCCTATCGCGTCTCCAGGACTTCTGGCTGTTCCTCCTTCTTGCAATGGGGCAAAGCCACCCTGATCCCACATTCTCCTTCCCCTCTGTGCTGCTGCGGTGCCCAGGGTGTGGTGCATCTTCTGGTTGAGCCCCAGGAGCCCCATCCCTGCCTGTCTCACCTGGGTGGTCTTCTTTCACCCCACATTTGTGGGTGAATCAGCTGTTTTGCAGCCACAGCACCCAACCACTCCTGCCCATCTGCACCCCCAGGTGTGGGGCCATGCTACGCGCCCCGTGATGCTGCAGCACCTGGGTGTCTCGCTCTGCCTGGTGGGTGCAGCAGCCAGCGATGCCACTGGCTTAGCAACCCCCTCCTCACAGCCAACTGAGTGCTCTGCTTTTGGGACTCTTGTACGCGCAGATCCTCCCACCGGGGAGATGCAGCACGAAGCCCTTCATGCCCGCAGCATCATCCCACGCTGGCATCATCCCGCGCTGCCGGCTTATTTCACCGTCCTCGCTCCTGCTTCGGCTGCCACAGCCCTTGCTGCGTCCATGTCCTGGGGGCATACACCAGGCAGGGAGCTCCCACCTTCAGCAAGGAGCTGCCAGGAGCTTGGGGGCCTCCAGAAATGGGCTGAGGGGGTTGCAGTGGTGGAATTGCTGTTTATCCAACTTCTGGGAAGCTGCTGCCCTTTGTCTGTGCCTGGCAGTTAAGAAGGGCTTTCACTTTTAGCGTGAGTCATGTGCATGTAATTATATGTAATTCTTTGCCATTTTATGTATGTGAAAATATTTGCTGTAGTTAATTCAGCACAAGCTGAGATAGCATTTCATATGCGGCTGCATGCCATCAGTTTCCCTATGGGATTTTCTCATTGTTGCCCTCATCTTGCTGTGGCTGTACATATAGACCTTTACAGCTCCTCAGCGCTGTATTAAGGTGCACTGGACACAGAAAGCGAGTCCTCTCTGTGCATGGGGGGTTCCTCTCTCTCTCTGACAGACACCCACACACCTCCACTGCCCCTGGAAGGCTGGAAATGAGAAGTATGTGAAGGCAAAAGAAATCACGCCTTTGTTCTGTGCCCCACTTCCCCTCTGCAAACTCAGCTTGGAGATACCGACCCTGGAGATGCTGTGAAGGTCCAGGATGAGCTGCTGGGTCCTTCCTTCTTATGGGCAGGAATGTGGCATGTGGAGATTTCAAGGGCCTTGGATGGTGCTTTCGTATTTCAGGGTTGCAGCATATTGGGAGGCAGTTGCCTGGACCTCTCTTTAAACGAGGCTGGATACCTTTCTTCCAGAAGCTGGACTAAATTGTGCCTTTTAGCAAACCTCTCATCCTGGGGGTGCATGGGAAGGAGCAGCTGGGGGACTGAAAAGTCCTTTCTCCACTTAATCTGTGAATTGATTAATTCCAGCTGCATCTGTTCCAGTGAAGCTGTCAATGGTCAGAAGATCTGGTTCCTCAGGAGCAAAGTCTTTAAATACTCCCAAGTGAGCTCTGGAGATGGTACGTGTTAGTGTATGACAACAGCTGGGACTGGGTGCCGGTGGTACCCCCTTGGAGATGTACCCGCTGAGTGGTGAACGCTGGCAGATACTGAAGTGATGGGACACCCCTCTGCAGGGAGATGGACCTGCCTTGCTCAGGTTCCTGAAGCATCCCTGTCCCCTGCACGCACAAATCACAGTGGTGCAGGTGGGGCTCTTCCTCTGCCCTCGGCGGTCCCCTCCTGCCGTCACTGCGGCGTTCAGCCCCCACCGTCACCCCTGTTGTGGCGCGTTGTCCTCTCGCGTGTTGGCTTGTGCTCTGGGAGATGCTGGTTTGACTCATTTAACCAAAATGAGTGACTTGGCTCCCAGTCCCATCTGTGGTGTCTGCTGAGAGGGGAGGGGTTGGCTCCTCTTCTGGGACACAGTCAGGGACGGACTCAAGTAGGTTGTGAGCATATTGGTAGATGTGACGGGTGTGCTGAAGTCAGCCCATTAGCAGCAGAGCTATTTTTTTAAGACAGTTGTTGAGGACCAAGAGCAAGATATTAACTTTGGGACTACATCTAGGTCATTGCGTATGCCTGAGGCTTGATTTCACACCAGAGTCCGAACTCCATACAGGTCCTTGCTGGTTGGTGGTATGTCGGGGAAGAGGATGGTCCATCAAGCTCTGCCCACCCGGCAGGTGTGATGGCAGCTGGCTGCAGTGGTGGAGCTTTGGTGTTGCTGTTGGCACATGAGCTGGGCAGATAAAGGCTCAACTTTTTGGAGCAGTGGTGCTTTTCCCCTTGAGTTATCCTGCAGGCAGGCACCGTGCCCGGGGGAGGGAGAACTTGGACTCTGGGCATCCATCCTGACACCCGTCTGGATGAGGGCTCACCTTCAAATGGCTCTGCAGCCACCTTGCTGCATGGTGGCCGTGCGGGCCTGCAGCTCATCATCCTACCCCACCGCTGCACCTGGGCGCTGCTTCTGCTTCGCTCTGTTCCCCCATGAAGTGTTGTGATGAACCCTCTGCTTTGTGCGGCATGGAGAGCTCAGGTGGGGATCTACCAAAGCAAGAGGGACTGGTCAGTCGGGCGGAGGGAGGGAGAGGATCTGCGTGAGATGAGAACCAAAAAATCTGCATCCCAGAAAATGATGGCAAAAAGGAAAACACAGCTTGAAATGCAAGCCAAATACACACTCGAGATCAAAAACAGGAGGGCAAAGAAAAAGTATTTTTCTCAACAGCCACAAGGTCTAAACACTCCTACATCTTGCATATTAATGTGACCATGATCATCGCATAATGAAAAATACCAGATGGCATTAGATTTGTAAGAAGTTCACAGGGTTTGATGACCCTCCCACCTTGCCCCGAATGGGCTGCCTCGGCTGTTACAAGTGATGGATGGAGAAGGACAGCTAACAGCTCCAAGACAAGCAGCTATTTCTGATGTGATGAAAGCAAAGCAAAATGTCTCATTTCTACTGTGCTCTGTCTGACCCACTAAATTCTGCCAGCTCCCGCCTGCAGGATGCTGCCTTTCCTCTGCATGGCAAGCAGTTACTACTCCAAAATTATTATTTATAGTTCGTACTGGTTTTCTCCTCTCTGCACTCTCCCCTGCTCATTTGGATCTGCAAATGGATTTGCTTCCACCACCTATATTGTTAATTGGCAGATTTGCATTTAATCGCCTGAATCTGGAAGCATCAGAAGACCAGAGCCCTGCGTCTCCCCTTGGCCCCAAGCATCCTCCTGGGACTTGCAGCATAAATGCGCTGAGGTTTAAGACATCACCACTGCAAATTTTCCACCACGATCACCCACAGCAGCTGCTCGTGCCTGGCCCAGGCAAGGGCTGGTGAATCCCCTTGTTCAGCCCTTGGCTCCAGGGCTGCTCTTTATTGCCACGGCATGATGGGCTTTGAGCCATCTTCCCGAAAACCGGGGGGCTGTGAATCCACGAGGCAAGGGGGACACTGCCGTGCTCTGTAGCAGAATGGGGGGGTGAGTGTTTGGATCTGGTGGAGGTGGCAGATGCAGCGCCAGGTCGGAGACCTCATGCTGCACATTCTAGCAATAGGAAGGTGCAGGCACATGGCAGGTCCCAGCTCCTGAGGTGGACATGAGATATCCTGCAGGACATGAGATATCCTGCATCAGGCTTGGCTAACTGCAGCTTTCAGGGGACACAGGACATGGCTGAGCGGAGGATACAGTCAGGTGAAAATGTCCCTGTCAGTGAGCTGGTCCCAAGGCTTGCTCCCAGCCTGGTCTGGAAGGGGACCGGCAGTGGGCAGTCGTGGTTTCAGCCCCCAGCTCAGCAGGATGGACCCCCTGCCCTGGAGCCAGAGGCCTCCAGCTCCTGCTGAGCTGGGGACGTGGAAGCACAGGGAGCTCTGGGAGATTTTGACTGTGGCGAACCACTGGATTTCATCAGCCAGGCTTGAACAGGGGATGATCTCCGCTCCATGAGCTGGGTCGCCTGCGCCCAAGCAGGCTCTGCCTAAGGGCAGGCTTAAATGCCCCCTTCCCATCTGTGTTTGTTGCACTGAACATTGCTGCTGCAGCACTGACGTCCACGCTGCAGGCTGGGCTGGGCTGAATTTCCTCCCCCTCTTTCCTCTTGCCTAATCTAAGTGCCTGTGCAAGCATCGCTGTGTCTCCTCCCTTCCTGGGGTCACAGGGAGCCCAGAGGCATCTGCTCCTTCTTCTCCCAGAGGATCAAACCTGGTCCTTTCCTCTGCTCCTGGTCTCCTGGCCAGGTTTGGTCCCAGGTGATGCTTTGGGATGGGGGTGGTCGGGTGCTCGCCTGCCCGCAGCTCCTGTTGGCAGCCTGAGGGAGCCCTCAGTGCCGGCTAACTCTTATCTTCGGGGCCGGAGAAACCCCGCTGAGGACTGCCCGTGCAGCCCAACTCCTCACCAACATCACTTCTTCTGGAGTTAATCTGCTTGGGCAAACAGAAAGACTAACCCTTGGGTTTTCTGGTTTTGTCCACTAGAAACCAGTGACCTGGAATGGATTCAGCAGCTTCCAGCTTCCCCATCCCTCATGAACATGAGGAATGAGGGGCAGAAAAGCTGCCGTATGAAATCACTCCAGGGTCCAGCTCTGCACAGTCTCTCTTGATGCTTCATATCACGACGGGCTTCTGGTGTGAATGCTAAAACTCACGTTGGGTCCAGCAGAGACAGGAGCTCACCCCCAGCGAGTGCTGCTGAGCTCTGCTGGGATTTGTGGTTTCTCTTATGCTGTACTTGTTTTTTTAGGTGTTTTTAAATAGAATATCAAAGACCCCTGTGGCAGCTGTCAGTCACACCAGCTTCCGACACAGAATGTTCGTCCTTGTTCGACTCCCAGGTATGGAGACATCTCACCTCTGGACTTCTTTCCCCTTCTTTTCCATGTGTATTATTGCACTTCTAGGCAGCTTCATCTTGTTCTTTATCATATCAAGATAGCGAAGTCTCCCCAAGCCTATGTACCTTTTTCTTTCTGCGTTAGCAGCAGCAGAGTTGCTGTTATTGACCTCCACGGTGCCCAGGACGTTAGCTGTTTTCTGGGTCAGGGTGAGGGATGTTTCTTTCGGTGCCTGCCTTGCCCAGGTGCTTCATGTTCATTTTACTTTTGTTGCCGAGTCAGCGATTCTGCTGCCCATGGCGTTTGATCGGGCCGTTGCCATCTGCAATCCCCAGAGATACACAACTTTATTGACCCACTCAATTCCACAGAGATAGAGCTGGCAGCTTTGCCAGCAGCCTCTGCATCATCCTCCCCTTCATTTTTCTGCTTCAGAGGTGGCTTTTCTGCTTCAGAGGTGGCTGCTGTGCTGCAGAAGCTGCATTATTCCTCATTCATACTGTGAGCGTCGGGTGCTGCTGGGCTGGCCCATGCAAGTGGAGAAGTCAATGTCACGTGTGGTTGAACAGTTGCACTGCTGCCAGTGGGGATTGTCGCCGTCTCTTGCAGGCTGATTCTCAGGGTCTTCCAGCTCCCCCAGGTGCCCATCTCCATGTGATCAGCACTGGGGCTTCCATCGCACCATCATTTCAATGTTCTACACATTGTTGTAGAAACGCTAGAAGGCGTTTTCTCCTTCTTCACCCACCAGTTTGGTGGTCACATCATCTCCAGCACATGTGTGCTCTCCTGGACAATGTCAATGTGGCTGTTCCCTCGTGCTAAACCCCATCACTTATGGAGGGAACACCAAAGAGATTGGTGAAACAGTGATGTGCGCAGTGTCCAGGCTGGGCAGCCTGCGACCCTCGTGTCTGGGCTCTGCGGGGCACCAAGGCCAAGGATCACCCACGCAAATTATCCTTGTTGTTAAGGGGTCTCCAAAGCAGGGATGAGGCTCCTGACGGCGGGCAGAGAAGGACAATCCGAGCAAGCAGCGACTGCAGAGAAACATGTGCCGCAGTCATAGAATCATAGAATCATTAAGGTTGGAAAAGACCTCTAAGATCATTGAGTCCAACCGTCAACCCAACACCACCATGCCCACTAAACCATGTCCCTAAGTGCCCCATCCACACATCTTTTAAATACCTCCAGGGATGGTGACTCAACCACTTCCCTGGGCAGCCTGTTCCAATCTTTAACCACTCTTTCAGTAAAGACATTTTTCCTTACATCCAATCTAAACCTCCCCTGGCCCAACTTGAGGCCGTTTCCTCTCGTCCTGTCGCCAGTTACTTGGGAGAAGAGACCGACCCCCCCCTCGCTACAACCTCCTTTCAGGTAGTTGTAGAGAGCCATGAGGTCTCCCCTCAGCCTCCTTTTCTCCAGGCTAAACAACCCCACCGCCCTCAGCCGCTCCTCAGCAGACTTGTTCTCCAGACCCCTCACCAGCCTCGTTGCCCTTCTCTGGACACGCTCCAGCCCCTCGACGTCCTTCTTGGAGTGAGGGGCCCAAAACTGAACACAGTATTCGAGGTGCGGCCTCACCAGGGCCGAGTACAGGGGCACGATCACTGCCCTGCTCCTGCTGGCCACACTATTGCTGATACAGGCCAGGATGCCGTTGGCCTTCTTGGCCGCCTGGGCACACTGCCGGCTCATGTTCAGCCGGGGTCTGGCCACCAGTCCTCCAGGTCTGCAGGGCGAAGGAGTGAGCATTTCTTCTACCCTCCAGCCTGTCCTGCCGGCGCGTTTTCTATCCCCCGCCCTTGCTGTTTCAGGTGGTCCTGGCTCTGTGACTGTGTCCTACCGCATCCTGTAGCAGACTGACTTAGTCTCCTGTGATATGGAAATGCACTGCTTTTTCACAGGATTTCCCTCTGCCTTGGGGGCAGCTTCTCTGTGTCTGTCCTGTCAGGCCCCTGGAAGCACTTCACAAACCCTTGAATTGGGAAGCAGTGGCCAAATGAACTGCTGGATCGTGCTGGACCATCCGTGCTTTGGAGGATGCTAGACTGAGCCTGAGCCTGCAGTGTACAGCTTGGGCAAGGTTGCCAGCGCAGAGCATGAGGGGTGGCACTCGCCCAGCCCTGTGGAGAAGAGGACACCAGAACCTGACATCCTCATTGCTGAGGGATGTTTTTGCCATTTTACTGGAATCAGTTTGGGCAGTGACAATGAGAAACGGGTTGCTAAAATTAACTGTGTGGAAGGAACGCTTTGTCCATATAAATGGATTCAAACCTTTGTATTGCCAGATATCATAACAAAGAACAAGGAGGATCAGGCTGCAAAAAGCAATGAGCCGTGGCTGGAGATTTCAGCTGCTGGTATCATCTAAAAGGCTGATAAATCCCTGTTGCTTTTGAAGGTGTCATTGCCTGGGTGCTTTTATTGAACTCAAACTTTGCTGAGGGATAGCTCCGCAGTCATAATGATGCTGTTAATAGTAATTATTTCCTATCTTAGGATACATATTTTGTCCTTATTAAGTGTTAAGTATTTTTTATGTTTTGGTCAGAAAAGAAATTCTTAATATAAGGAAGTGAAACCTGTTCTTGATTGAATGCACTCCAAACAAGAACACGTGATGCCTCTCCCAAACCCTTGTTTTCGTAGGGGTCTGATGTGCTGCTGTGCTGGTGCCACGCCCGCTGTGCCCTCCGGCAGAGCCGGGGCCAGGGCTGCACTGGTGGTTTTGGGAGAGGATTTCCCCAGCAGGACCCCCCATGCCCTGGACACGGCACCAGCACAGCCTGGGGAGCCCTTGGCCCCAGAGAAGCCACCAGTCAGATGGCATGCAAAGCAAATGTAAAATGCACAGAAAAGTCCTCGTGTCAGGCTGCCCCCCAACCTGCCCGGGCACGGGGGCAGCACGGCCCGTGATGCTGGATGCTGCGGGGTCCTCGGCATGCAGTGCCCGGTCCACGTGCTGGGGCAGCTCCTGTCTGCGGGCTGCCGGCAGCTGCTGCCTGGGTGAAACTTTCTGTGCTGTGCTCTGCAGGTCCCGCACATCTATTTTGGAGGTTGTCTTGCTCGTGTTGCCCCCACACTGCTTCACTGTGGCTCAAGGCAAAGAGGGAGTCCTGCTGCTCCTGCACAAAGCAGTTAGTTAGTTAGTTATTTAGTTATTTAGTTAAATGCAACACCCCCCTGCCCCATCAGGCTGGCTTGGCCCTCCCAGTGCCCTTCTCCCCTTATTTCCCTATCTCTGTGATGTGCCTGCCCAGGGGCGAGAGTCTTCCCAGGAAGCCTCTGTTCCTCTCTTTTCCCTGAGAGAGGCTAAATGTCCCGTTTTCATGCTGGGGCTAATGCTGAGCAGCTTCATTGGTACTGCCACTGGATTCTGAGGTCTGTACAGGACAGGGCTTAGTCGCTGCTTGGGAGCTGCTCGGTCCAAGCTGTCGGGCTTATGCTGCTTTGGGCTTTGCTGCTTTCAGCCCGCCATTTTGTCTGTCAGGTTTACCCTTGAACAAATTGCCTGGCTGTGTTTCATCATCACGGGCAATGTGCAGCACCTCTCTGAACACAGCTCTGTTTTTCAGCGGAGTCCTCCTCGGCTTCCTTGTGTCTCTGGCGGTGGAAATGCCTGGCCATGAAGTGGGACAGGATCAGCAAGTGGATTATTTCTGATGCCTGTCTTCCCCTTCCCAGTATTTCTGACACAATCTGCCACCTGGGCTGTGTTATCTGAGCAACGCGAGCCCTTTGCTCCTGCTTTTCTTCCAATACAAGATATATTTTGTCCCAGGTGTGGGCGATCCATTAGGAGCCTTTCTCTGTGGCATTCAAAAATGATTCCCAGGCTGTGTTTACCCTGCGTGTTCAGCACAGCATTAAGCAAACATTTTCACTGTGAACACAATCTGCTATGTGATGAGCCGGGAGGAACATCTCGCCCTTGTCCGTGCTTTTGTCACCATCCAGGTGCCAGAGGGGAAAGGGGTGGACATCAAAGCAACTCGCAGAAGCGTATCCCGTGCCCTCCCATCTTGATGTGACATGAATTGTTACTTGTTCTTCGGAAGTTACGTGACTTAGCCTGTCCTCGGTGTTCGTTAGGAACAGCCTCTGCTGTGCCTGCACCCCTGTGCTCTGCGGATGTGACTGCGTTGCTTCAGCCGCAATGAAGAGCCTGCGCACTGCAGCACAAAAACTTCCAGCAGCATTGAAGTGACACCGGCATGAACTCCAGCAGACCGTATATCACGATTTTCACCTGATTTTCAGTTTTGTCAAACTGATTTTCAGTTTTTTTAAATTCTTCTCAGGGAAGGGGAGCGCTGCAAAAGCACCGGAGTCTGATGCTGGTTCTGTCACCCCTTACCACCGCCCAGGGTCAGTCCAGGAGCGGGGCGGTGTCTGTGATAACGGCTCCGTCCTCCACACTGCCACCATGACAAAGAAAACACTGAGGAAGCAAGCAAGGAAAGGCCTGCAGATTGATGGGGAGTTTCAGCCCCCAGCCAAGTTTTTGTCTCAGCTGACTTCAGCATCCTCTTCTCCTCTGAGAAGTCCCTCTGGGGCTGCAGTCAAGTTCAGCTCCTGGAGTGATGGGAAGACATGAGGATTTCAAGGGTGCTTAAAGTGGGGAGCTGGGTACATCACTGCCATAACGCAGGTTTTTCCCAAGTGCTCTTCACCCAGGCAGGGAGGAGGGGGGGGCAGCAGTGCAGGGCCAGGCTGGCGTCAGGCTGCCCTGCACAGGTGGGGAAACGGAAGCACGGGGCTGCACAGTGCTGCTTTGCAAAAGCCACCGACGCCTTGGCTGTAACTCCAGGCCAGGCAGGAGTCAGGGACACTGCTGGGAAAGCCAGGAATGGTCAGGAGGCAAACCGCAGCAGCCCCAAGCCCTTCACCTCTCTCAGACACAGGCAGAGGGACAAGGCGCCCAGCACACTTTGAGGAGAGCACAGAGCTGGAGCAGCCCCCGCAGTGCTGGCCGTCCAAGGCCCTGGCTGTTGCTGTCTTGGGCATCCATCCCCAGGGACCCAGTCCTGTGCACCCTGTCCCATGCACCCTGTCCCCAAGTGCTCCATCCCCAAGCACCCCATCCTGGGCACAGTGAGATGAGTAGCCCTCCCTGCGCACCCTGTCCCATGCACCCCCCTCCTTGGGGAACCAACCCCAGGTACCCCCTTCCCATGTACCCCGTCCCCGTGCACCCGTCGCCGTGCACCCATCCCCGTGTGCCTGGTTCCCAGCCCCCACCCCCCAGCGGCATTACCAGCAGAGACCACCCCAGTTCCCAATGCCTGGTTCCCAGTACCAGCAGAGCTTCCCCACCCAGTGCCCTGTTATCGGTGCCAGTTCCCATTCCCGCTTCCCTTTCCCAGTTCCTGTTCCCAGGGCCAGCAGCGCCCCGGTGCCCGTTCACGTTCCCAGCAGCCCCCCGGTTTCTGGTGTCCTTTCCTGGTTCCTGTTCCCGGTGCCGGCAGCCCCTTCGTTCCCGGTGCTGGGAGCCCCCCATTCCCATTCCCGATGCCCGTTCCCGGCAGTCCCTCCTCCCTCGTTCCCG